TGATTCCCTTATCTTTTAATTATGTCCAGTCTCTCTCTCATATGGCTTATCATATTTTTGGTACTTAATATTATACTTCCTTCACTTTCTATAAAAGATGTTTATCTATAACAGATGGCATGGCCTATTAAATAAAATAGGCTCTATTTACATTTATATCCTATATCATCTAACATGCTTACTTAAGGAGCAAGCAACAGAAACTGACTCTGGCTACAAGAAACAAAGGGAAGGATTATGACGTAGGTCACAGATCTGCTGGAGGGGCTGCACAGCCCAGCTTCTGGAAAGAGAGGGACCAGGGAAGGGCTGGAAAGCACAATGATAGGATCTCCTAGACTTTCTCTGTAAGATAATTCAGCTCCAGCAAACATTAGCCTCTTGTATCTTTATTCACATTTCGAGGTCCTGATAGAATCTGTCTGGCCTGTATTAGTAAGTGCTTTATGCCAACGGCTTAGTGAATTTTGACTGGGGGATTAGAGGCTGGGTGGCTGGGGGAATTATTTTGAATTGAACAGCATCTACTTATTCTCTACACTTACAGTTTTTTGTACTAGATGGACCTATTCAAGTACATTTGGTTTAGAAGCCCATCATGTCATATATAAAATATTTCAACCTTTCATTTTTTTACCCAAGAGTTATATCTCCCATTTGAGTTTGAGGCCATGGGTTGGCATGAACATATGTGTGTGTGGCCAGGGGACACCTTTATTTTTTCTTTTTAACTGGTGTTAAGTGAGAATTTAAGTTCTCAATGCTAATTGCTAAATCATGTATTATTTGAGTTAATTTCAGAAGTGCGACCCCAAGACCCACTGGTACTTGGTACAAAGATGGTTTTAGAGTCATTCATGAGCACACTGAAGGCTGACACAGCCTCTTACCATCTGTGAGACTGAGCAGTTTGCATGACCTGTCTGAATCCTCATTTCTTCATCACTAAAATGGACTTGATATTATATATTTTACAAAGGTATATTGAGATTTTTGTGATAATATACATAGAAGGCTTGGCACCAGGCACATATATTCCCAACCTTTCATCATCTTTTGATTTTAAATTGTTAACAAACATTTTACTTATTTTAAAGTAATAGTAATGGGCTGAATTAATGATATGAAGGGAAAAAGAGTTAAATAGTTTAAGGAACAGTTGGAGTTAAGGCCCAAGACTTAATTGACCTTTTACTATCTGATGTTCCTCAATTTGTCTCTTAAGAGTAATAATAGTAATGACTGCTCAGAAATAATTTGACCTTCTACAAGGCTGTTTGTTATCATTAAAAATGCTGAAGAAGCAGAGGTGTGGATAAACTTCAGTTATCTATGTTTCACCTTGGAATCTCTTCCCCATATTTACATTTGAAATATATATGATATTCAGGAAATTAACAGTTATTTCAGACTGGCTAATGGAACCTCCTCTTAAAGTATGATTGGATATAATCCTCTTTTCTTTTCTTTTCCCAATCAGTTCTTCCATCTCCACACTCTAAACTGGGACTATAATTGCTTTTAAGAGTAATGTTTAGGCAGATGTATTGCAATGGTTTAGGAGCATAATCTTTGAGGAGAGATGGGTCTGAGTTTATGTCGTGTTTTTTTTTTTTTTTTTCCATTTACTGTGGGTTAGCCATGATACTTTCAAACCACTGTAACTCTCAGTTACCAATATGTGTGAAATGAAGACAGCAATAGTATCTCTCCCATGAGGGTTTTTTGAAGAGTAAATGGAGTACTGCATGTAAAAATGAACACAATGCCTGGCTCATTAACCCTCAACACATTTTATTTTATATTATGGTTAAACATTTTTATCATAGAATACTGAAAATGTTTGTGTCTGAATCTATAGAGACAGAAGTGTTTGGTTAACATTTGACCTCATTTTTAGACTCTTGATAAGATCAGAGATATTTTCTTTTCTAGCTTGCACGATTGTACCTTCCCTAGGATTGGGCAGTTATTACGATGGTTCTATTTGTATTTAAAATGTCTTTGTTATGACCCTCTGGGGGTCATACAACTTAAGGTCAGCAACTTAAGGTCCAGTTTATTTTAACAAAGTTAGGACAGGCATAACGACAATTTGGTAGCAATAATGAGGCTCAATCAGCATTGACTAGAATTTTTATCTGATGTGCTATTCTTGATAAAAATGGGTTTGTTTATGCAAATGTATAGCAGAATAATCAATCTTTATAAAGTATTTCTTATCAACGTACTCTAATGTTTGTGGTCTCCAGTTGTGGAGTAATAATTTTTACTACTAATTATTGTTTGATAGCCAAGCACTATACTGGGCATATTACTTGCATTATTTCATTTTATTGCCTAAAAGTAGTTGCTAGTCTCCTGACCTTACAGATGAGCAAATGGCCTTTGAAAGGTAACTTACCGAAGGTCACACGTCTAGGGAATGGCAAAGGTGGACCTTGACTGACTGCAGAGCCCATTTGCAGGGGAAGAGAAAGCATCTTTTGCAAAGACGTGAAACAGGCTTGCAAAGGTATTTTCCTGGTGGTACAAGTTCTTTTTTAAGTGGACATCCTCATGTGTAAATCCATGAGCACATTGTCAAGATCTATATTTGAGGAGTTAAGGCCAGAGGTTTAAGTACAAGCCGGCTTTAATTCTTGTTTTTCTCAATTTATGTTAGTTTTATTTTTCTTGCATAATTAATGGATAATGCTTTTCAACATTTTAGAGATTTTTGATATTTGGAACTGGAAAACGTCTTCTGCTTTCCAGACAACAGAACAAAATAGCGAGCCATGCACAAATGGCATGTTATTCTAAGAACTTTGACTGCGTTTAGAATTAGTGTTAGATCTTCGTAACTTGAAAGCATTAAAATTAGACAAAGTTAAAAAATATTTTTCTTAAGGGAGAACCTGCGTCTTTCTGTTATTCACTGCTCTCCTTTTTCTCCTTTTAATTGGTAGAAAAAGGTGGAGTAATATTATGCCTTATTAATAATAAATAGAGACATGTGTCGCTTAATGATGGAGATACATTCTGAGAAATCCATCTTTAGGCGATTTCTTTGTTGTGTGAACATCACAGAGGGTACTTACAGAAACCTAGATGCTATAGGCTACCTCACACCTAGGCTATAAGGCATAGTGTATTGTTACTAGGCTACAAACCTGTGCAGGATGTTACTGTACTGAATACTGTAGGCAATTGTAACACAATGGTAAGTATTTATGTATCTAAACATAGAAACGGTACAGCAAAAATATGATATAAAAGATTTAAAAAAGTAGTAGATGGTGAGTGAGTGGTGAGTGAATGTGAAGGCCTAGGACGTTACTGTACACTCTGTGGACTTTATAAACACTGTACAGTACACTAGGCTACACTAAAATTATAAAAAATTTCTTTAGTAATAAATTAACCTTAGTTTACTGTAACTTTTTTACTTT